AAAACCGACGGGACGCGCATCTTCGTGGCCGCGGCGAGTTGAAATTGGACAATAATCCGATATACCTGACCTGGCACGCGTGGCGCGGCGTGGCGGGGCGTGGCGGGGCGTGGCGTGGCGGGGCGTGGCGGGGCGTGGCGGGGCGTGGCGGGGGCAGGTCGTGCGGCTCGTGAGCCCCGCGCGGCCCGTGTTCCAGTGCCATGTCGCAGTAACAATGGGTACACTGAACGGAAACCTCTCAATCAGCACGCTGCCTCCTAGCGCTCCACAGCCCCACTGCCGGGCCCGCCGGGCCGAGGACCATGGACCGACGGGCCAAGCCCTTCCCCGGCACCCCCTTCTGGTGCTCCCTTCTCCCTTGTTCCCCAACGCGTCGCTGTGCCCCCTGCCGGTGACCCCGCCCCGCCCCACCTCCCCGCCAGCATGGCTGTCGTGCACGGCGACACGGACGGCAGGGACGGCGCCACAACCACAGCAGTGGTCATGACTGCACTTGCATGCATTTCTGCATCGCTGTGTGTGTGTGCCGTAGCGCCCGGCCAGTCAAGTGTGAAATGGCTTTCTGCGCAGCTTAATTTTCCCGGCCAACGCGTTCGGTTACACACACGAACAGACAGAGGAGGAACATTCGAACAGAGAGAGAGAAACAGTCCACACTCGCAGAAAGACGGACAAACATTCAAACAAACAGAGAGACAAACACACGCGCGCGCGCATTCACGTGAAGGTGGTCACTGGCGTGTCCCCATCGCGGCCTGACCCGTGCCGCCTCTACGCCGCCTGGTATGATTGTACGCTCGTGACAGCCGCGCCGTACTGTATGGTGGCACAGCAACAGGGTCGGGACCCCGTCGGGACCTTCGCAATGCAATGCGTGGCGCGACTCTCGGCAGCGCTTTCGTTGGGTCACCGCCTTGTCACACTGGCGAAAGGCTCCCAGTAGAAAGGGACCGTCAAATGGCACTTGAAAATAGTTGAAAAAAAAAAGCTGCAGAGACGAAGTTTTTGATGGTAATAGAACGAAAAAATATCGAATGATAAAACTTCTGTTCAAATTTTGTAAACAAAAAGTAGAATTATTCACAAATGTTTTCAAAAAAAAAGTTTGAAATTTAAAAAAAAAATATTTGGGAAACGTGCATTGGCCACGCTGGGAAAGAAATAAGGAAAAACGGAGATTCCCGTGCCTGGGTACGCTGGGCTTTAGGAGGATGTTTGTTGTCCTTCCGGCGGCCGTGTGCCGGGCAGCGCGTAGACCCACACAAAAAGGGGCTGGAGGCTCCAGGACTCCAGGAGCCGCTCCAGGGGGCGCGATAATGAGTCGACACGCTGCGTGGTTATCGCTTATCGGCGGCCATCGTCGTTCATTGGTCCACAACACCGCCGAATGACGTCAAAATGAGAGCACACCGCGGAGCAGACGCCTTCTGATACGGTTCGGTGGGAAGTTTATGTAATGAATTTGACGTTACCGAGGCTAGCATGATAAAAGGACGTTCTGAAAATTGTCCAAGGGCAACTACTTGTTATTGTTCTTTATCGCTACTGTGGGCCAAAAGTTGAAACAAGATCAATTTGCTATGTTTTTTTATGAACTATTAGCAAAACTGATCTAATTTCTATGGGAAAACGATTCCCGGGGTCTCGAACCGCATCCTGCTGCACTGCCCCTTCGTGCCGATGATGAGGCTATGTAAATGAGGGGGTGCGTGCCTGGGCTGGCCTGGGCTGCGAGCGAGGCGGCCGATAAGGACATCTTCGCCTCCTCGGTCTCCTTGTCCTGCAGCAGGTGCGCGCGGAGTCGTGACGGTGGCGTTGAATCAGGGGGGCCGGTGTTGCGTAACCTCACGCACATCGTCGCGTCGAGGAGCGTCATCGGCCGAAAGCCCAAATTCGGACGTTTCCGTAAACAGCACCTGCTCGCTCTAGCAGGGTAGCCGCGCCGCGCCCCGCTGCAGCGCGCTGCTCACTACCAGAGACGGATCTGTCAGGGAGACATATTCAGTTGTTTTTTGATGCTGCTGCCGGCCTGCCTGCCGGGCCGGACGACGCCGGGATGAGGCTGACGCCGGGCCGCTGGCCGCCGCCGCTGGCCCGTTCGGCCGCTCCATCTCCCCTGTCAGCATCACTCAGAGCGCAGCGCTGCAGCCGCCGCGCGCCCCGCCGCGGCTCACAAGTGGAGATGCCCTTCGCAAGGCGTCCCTGGAGTCCGTCTCTGTATGTGCCGGACGCCCCTCGGGTGCGAGCGAGCGAGAGTGCAGGGCGCTCCACTCTGTCCATCACCTTGTTTGAATGACCGCCGCCTCGTTTGTTTGCTACGAGGCCCACGCGGCCGGGCCGGCCGGACTGCACCCTTTTGTCGTCCGGGATGCGCTAGGCGGGCCGCTCCGAACCGCGCCGCCCGTCTCTCTCTCACTCGAGGGGCGTCCCGTCGGGGCGCGAGAGAGACGGGGGGTCAAAGCGACGTCCGGAATCATCCCATGGCGGCCTCCTCGTGTCCTGTCAGAGTCCGTTGTCGGCTTGTCGGGGGCTTCCGGTGTGGGCCGGACTCTCGGATTCGGGTTTCGACGGGCCGAGCCGAAGGAGCCGAAGGCAGCCCAGAGCGACGGGGCTACATCGGTCACCGCGATGCCAGCGCTTGGCAGCAACAGTAGCTGCAAAGTGATGGCCCGTGCCGTGGCCGCCGTTCGTCAATGCACGTCGACCCGTCCGGCGGGGCGCCCTAACTGCACGGGACTTCCCCCAGAGTTACGGCCCTCTCCTCGGTGCACCCCTACGGGACGCAACGTGAGTGCGAGCCAGACAGAGCGACGATGCGCGCACTCGCTTGGCGCGCGTGCGCGAAGGCGTATCTGTCACGGGCGGCTCGTGGACTTGCGGCGTTCTGCCCGCCGGCCTCCAAAATAAGACGCGTCCTTATTTGGACCACCATTACACCGGGCGGGCGGATTACGCCGACAGATTGCCGCTCACATCGGCTTCTTGCTGCTTCAATTCGCGGTCCGAAGGCTCCATTATTTCGAGCGGTCTGTCTGTCTGCCTGTGCGGCGCGGCCCGTCCGCTCGCCCACGCGGGGTCAGCGGGTCATCCAGTGGCGCGGCGGGGTCCTGGGGCAATTAGTGCGATGGCAACAGTGCTTTCTGTCTCTCAGGCACTCATAGGGTGGAGAGAGAGAAGGACGAAACAGTCGAAGGAACAGGTGACAATCACCCCGCAGTCAACATAGTTGATTGACCGACAAAGTCATCCCAAGTTGAACCCCACGCATGATCATACATGGTTGAAACTGCTGTGGATATTTCTGGGAAAACAGTACCACGCCGTTCGTTTAGCGTTCAGCACTTGTTCCTCAACAGTGAATATTGATGTCAGCCATTAGTCAATCTGTTGGTACAGGTAACTTCATTGCTCTTCTGTCACGACCGCTAAGTGTTGTTGCCCATCACCGGATCGACATCGTCGTCCATTAGTGAAACTTATTTTTCTCGGGATAAATCAGGACCTACCTGCCGTTTTTTACTCCCGAAAAGTGTTTTCTTCTGAGTCACAGCTTTCTGGCAGAATTCCAGGTCCTAGATCATTGACAACTTACCAGTGTCAAATCTCAGGACAAGAAACTAATTTGCGAGAAACGGTTTCTCACGAGTTAATACTTACCGAGTGTCCGAAGCGAACGATGAAAAAAGGCACCTGCCCACTAACTTTTATTTTTCAATTTTTTATTTTTTTTTTTGCGCAGTTTGTATTGATTGATTCACCGCGGTAGCCATTCCGTGCTTTGGCGCGCGCCAACAGGGAAAAAGAAACGAGAAAAAGCCAACGGCGCTTGTAACTTGTAACGTCCTAGGGGGTAATGAGAGTGAACACGAGACACGAGTCGGACACACTGGAAGCCGATACCCCGCCTTTTGAGGGAACGTGGACGGGCAGTACGACGCGAACAAGAAGACGTCCAGTCAGCGTGGCGGGGTGGGGCGGGGTGGGGCGGGTCTGCATCATGCCCGGCAGACAATCTGACACCGAAAGCGCGCCTGTGCGGAAAACTGGAAAATGGGCTGGCGCCCCGAGCGGCAGGCCAGGCCAGCCAGGTCGGTCTGGGCGTATCCCATGACGGCCCAACAGGCTACCGGCACGATACGCTTCTCTTATTCAGCGGTCACTCTGCGTGTGTGTGTGTGTGTGTGTGTAGCGTGCCGCACATGTTCAGCCAAGCGCGGGGTGAAGGCGCGGTGTGAAGGGAAACAAGGGCCCAGGAAGGGGGGGGGGAAGGCGAGGGGCAGGCCCCCGTCCCCACACAAATAGCGCCTAATAACTGTAATAACTTGGCGACTTGGCGGACGCGTGACACAGGTGCCGCGGTGAAGCGGCTGGGAGAAAGAAAAAGGAGGGGGGGGGGGGGGGTAGCAACGCCGCGCTTATAGCGGGGGGCCTCGACGTGTCGCTCCGCCGGACCAAGCGAGCGGAAAAAGTAAAAGGGGGGCTTTCAAGAATAGGAGAACGTTCTTCGCTTTTTTTTGTGTGTGTGGCCGGGCTCTTTTTTATTTGTAGCGCACATGAAGTTTTCGGCGTGTGTGTGCGTGCGTGTATGTGTGTGTGTGTGTGATTTAGTAGGCGGTGCGTAGAGCGCGGCGCGGTCGGTCGGCCTCCTGCGGGGTTGGGTCTCTTCCGTGCCCCCCCGCGGCCACCGGCGTGGTAATGGACGAAGGGGGCTGTGATGACCCCCCCCCCCTTTTCGCCACGCCACGCGCCACGCGGCACTCCGCGCTACAATTAAATAATACCTCGGCCATAGAGTCGCCATATAAGCCATTTCCATTCCGGGGATTCCTGTCCCGGGCGGCAACATTCCTGGGCGGCGCGTCGCTCTGCCGGCACACTGCCGCTCCGGCCGCGGGGCTTTGCGCCGCTTTGCGCGCGAGGCGTCGGTGGCCGTCGCGACGCCGGCCCACTGTGCGGCTGCGCCGTTATGTGCAAACTGATTGACCCTTGTTTGTCCGCAGCCGGCCGCCTGCTCGGGGTTCTTCGAGCTGCAGCTGCTGGAGCTGCACAACCCCCGGCTGGAGGTGCGGGGCGGCGCGTGCTGCGCGGGGGGCCTCCCGCCCTGCTCGGCGCCGTGCCACACCCGCCTCCGCCTGTGCCTCAAGGAGTACCAGAACAACGTCACGTCCACCGGGTCCTGCTCGTTCGGCAACGCCACCTCGCCCGTCCTGGGCGGCGCGTCCTTCGCGCTCGCCGACGCCGACCTGGCGCAGGACGAGCAGGGCCCGGAGCCCGAGCCGGAGCACGGCAAGCTGGTCATCCCCTTCGCCTTCAGATGGACGGTGAGTCGCCTGTTTCCTTTCCTCTGTAGCATACCAACGACATTCCGCGCTGTGTCTCTCGCGCCCCCACCGGGCTACGTGACGCCCCTTGAGTGCGAGAGAGACAGAACCACCCCCCCATTGGTATGGACCGCAGAGGCCCTGGCCGTGTCCCATGCAGTTTAAGGTGACGGTCGGGGCGCCTGGCAGGTAGGCAGCCCGGCCCTGCTCCACGCACCGCCGTCCTCGCGTTGCCTACCTTTCTGCCCATTATTCGCACTTCGCGGCGCCTTCGCTCGCGTTCGCGGGTTGCGTGTTCCCCGCGCATCATTTGTGCCGAGCCGGCCGGCCAGCCTGGTGCGGAGGTAGGAGCTCCGTGCGCTGGCCTCGTGCGTGGAGGTCTCCAGTCCTCCGCGGTGGTCCTCGCTGAGGTCCTCGCCGAGGTCCTCGCTGAGGTCCTCGCAGAGGTCCTCGCTGAGATCCTTATTTCGCGGACCTGTAAGGTCCTTCGCATAGGTCCTCATAGAGGTCCTGTGCTCTGGGAGGTCCTGGTAGACGTCCTGCCGGTACGCCGGGTCCATAGACGCTGCCAATACACCGGCAGGACACCGATGCTATCACGCTGCGCCGCGCCGCGCGGACCGCGGGCAACTTATTCCAAGATGGAAACGTGAGTTTAGTTTTATTATTGCTATCGTGATGGTGCAAGATAATTAATTTTACGGCTTCGCTTCGTGCGTTCCCGTCCGTTCGCGCGTTCGCGCTGGCCGTGCGTGCGTACCAAATAAGCGGGTCTGCCAACTTGAAATTTGAGTCGCGAGGAATCCCGGTCGGTGCAAGGCGAGGCAAGGCCTGCTGCACGGCTTCGATCAGCAGTTGGCACCACTGGCTGGGATTCGGCCGCGCGGCCTCGCCTTCTCGGACTTTGGGACTTTCGGACGCGCTCACGGATTACCGCCAGTCGAGTCGGAAGAAACCAGTTGCCTGCCCTGGAAACTGTTGTGTGGCGCGGCGTAGTGTTTTTATTCCCCGGCAGTCCAGCACCCGGCCAGCCCCACGGCCTGGAGTCCAGACTCTGGCGTCCAGACTCCACCTTCGTCCCGGGCGGTCGGGTGATCACGCTGTCGGGCGGGCCCGAGGGCCGCGGGGGTGGCCGATGTGTAAGTAGCGCCCCACCGTGGGGCTCGAATTAATCACATTCCGAAGGCCGAGGCTCCCTCCTCCCAGTGTACCGCAGTGCACCGTGGAGGTCACTCGTCCCCTCCCGTCCTTCCTGCATCCCCGGCGTCTCGACGCGCTCCTCCCGCGGGGATCCAGGACGGAGGTCCTCGCATGGGACTTCGGAAAAAAGCGCAGTAGCAAGTGTGCGACATGTTCGACCGGAAATCGAGATCCGATTTTCCGGTCGGTTCAAAATGCAGAGCGCGGCGCGTCCGTCCGACCGGCCGCCTCACCGCCTCGCACGCGTGCGGACAGCATGAGGGCTTTCGAATCACTTTGTTTGCTCGCTCAGGTCGACCCCCCCCCCCCGCAGATTCCCCCCTCGCCGTTGACTCAGTGGCGTTGCATGCGGGTATCCTTTACCACCTGCTGCGGACGCGTTGGGACGCCCCCGAATTCAAGGGGGAGGGGGTGGAGAGGGGGGAGGGGAGGGGGGATGCGCACGGACACGCACACAGACACACACAAAAGAGGTAGAGGCGGTCGTGTAACAAGGTTTCCTGCTCCTCGTAATATTGGTCTGGCACCAGCGCGTTCGCGTTCCTGCACACACGTTCGTTCAAAGACACTCACACGCACACACACAGACACACACACACGGGCTGATCTACTCAAGCAGTGCACAGCGCGGTCCTCCGCGCTACGCCACGCCGACATCGCGATGCTCTACACGATGCCGGCCGGCCGGACCGCCGTGGCGGGGCGTGGCGTGGCGGCGCGACAATGTCGTCCAGCAGCTCCGCGGCCTCCTCGTCGTCGTGTGCGTGCGCGCGTGCGAATTCGCGCCGAGCAGCGCGACGCAGCGCGCAATCCGATGACCCGCGCCGCCTGGCCGGGCATCATCGTCATCTCCCTGCTGCTGCTCTGCCACCTCGTGCATCGCGACTCACACACACACAGACACCCACACGAGTCACACCCACACATCACCAAACGCCGCGACACGGCACTGACTAAACACCCAGCCGATTTGCATAATGCTTGGCCCGCAGTGTGTGCCGACAGGAACGGCTCCGCCGGGAGAAGCCGCTGGAGAAGCCAGAGTCACTGGAGAAGTCGCCAGAGAGGCCACCGGGAAGGCTCCAGGATCCACACTGGAGGAGTCGGACTGGCGGAGTGAAACTGGAGAAGCCTACTGGAGAAGCCGAACTGGAGAAACCATACCGGCAGCCATCCTGGAATAAAATCAGAGAAGCTGATGGAGATTCTTTGGCGGCCCCTCTCTCCCGCTGAGCGTTTGAACCCTTTTCGCTTCTTCGCTCCAGCGGGCTCCAGCGAGGCTCCAGACAGCAGCCGGAGAGGCGATGTAAGCACGGAGGGGCCTCGCCCGGGGGGCCGGAGGGGCCGGGGGCCACGGCTGGAGGGCTTGGCCGGTTGGTGGCTGCCTGGCTGCCCCGCCAGGACGGGCCGGTCACTGCGGGGCTCGCGTCTGGTCGAGCTGGAAGTACAGTTACAACCCGCACCACACAGGCAGGACCGGGGGCCACGGCATGGGCCACGGCATGGGCCGCGAAAATGCTGCGGGGTCAAATGCATGTACTTAGGTGTCCCTTCGCCACGCTCTCCATTCAAACGGGAAATAGACTGTAAGTGGCGAGTGGGGCTTAATAACAACAACAACGCCACCACACCAACAACAAAACCAGCAACAACAACACGCATGCAGCGCATGCACAATGAAGCGGGCTGCGCCGGTCTGCCCCTCTCGAGGTGATTCACTCCGAGTACCTGTTTGCTGACGTGCCGCGCCGCCGCTTCCCCCGATCCGAGTCGAGCCGAACTCCGATCGAGCCGAGCCGAACGAGAGCAGGGCCGGCGAGCGGCGCCGAGCCGAGCCGAGCCGGCCGAGCGCGGAGCGGAGGGCCCCGGAGTCGGCTCTGACAAGCTCCCGAACCGGAGCTGTTATCCCTTGAATTTTCATTTTCTTTGCATGTGATTGAGCGCCGGGGCGACGCTCCACTCCCCCCTCCACTCCACTGCAGCCTCTGCCTCCCAGCCTCCGCCGGCCTTGTGTGCACCGCGGCCACGGCGGCCACGGCGGCCACGGCGGCCACCACGCACAGGCCGATGCGGAGGATCCGGAGCAGCGAGGCTCTCCGCGTCGCTTGGAGAGACTCGCAGCGAGAGCGGCGACGACTTGGGAGGGTTTCCATCGAATCACAGTGCTCGTTTTGGCTGAGCCAGAGAGCTCTCTACGACGCACCCCTACGGGCCGTGGAGGAAGACAGAGCGACGTTCGCGATGATCGGGCCGCGGCAGACTGTTGCGCGAGTGCCACCTGATCGGGCCACTCTTTGACCGAGGCGTAAACCGCCGCGGCGCCCCCTCTACAAACAGTGGGCGCGCATCCATCATTGTCACGGCCTCATTACCTCGGACTCTCTGACCGCCATGGCGCGCCACCGGCCTCCCTGGGCCGCCCTGGGCCGGCCGGGGGGCGTGACGAAGCGGTGAAGCGGAAGGGCGAAGCGGCGGCGCAGCGTGGCGCAGCGCCGGTCAAGTGGTCGGAGCGACTGGTGAAGTGGTGGGAGCAACTGGTGAAGTGGTGAGAGCGACTGGTGAAGTGGTCGAAGCGGCTGGTGAAGTGGTGGGAGCGACTGGTGAAGTGGTGGGAGCGACTGGTGAAGTGGTGGGAGCGACTGGTGAAGTGGTGGGAGCGACTGGTGAATTGGTCGGAGCGACTGGTGAAGTGGTGGGAGCGAGTGGTGAAGTGGTCGAAGCGACTGGTGTGGTGGTTGAAACGGGTGAAGTAAGGAGGTTGGTGAAATGGTCGAAACGGTTCAGGACGTGGCGTGAAGGTGGCGTGTGTGATTCGGCTCCCGCTTCCGCCATTGCTGCTACTTGTAGGGCGTGAGGTTGTGGCGGGGCGGGGCGGGCTGCAGGGGCTGTTGCTTTCTCGAGCCGAACGTCGGTGTCTGGTCCGACCACAGCCGCGCTGCACTGCGCTGCACCGGGACGTAAACCGTGCTGCATTCATACTGCAGGCTCTGCAGGCAAGCGGGCCGACTGCATGGTACACTTTTCACCGCAAGCTGGTGACCCTGGGCCGCCGCCCCGCCCGCCCCCCGCCACCGGCACCCGGGACTTGTGGACTGTGCTCATCCGCAGAGCAATCTACTGGGTGGTCCCTGAGGGCCGCGTCCTGGAGGGGTCCCGGCGGGGTCCAGCGGGGCACAGAGGCCGCGCCGCGCCGCGCCACGCCACGAGGGCAGGCGGTTGGGCCGGTCAGCTCGGGCCCGGGCGCATGTATGGCGGATGTAAACAAACAAAGAGTAACCCGACGAGCGGCTGAAAAAGGCGAACTAGCTGCACTCTGCGGAGAGGCGGACGTCAATGACTCAAAGGGAGGTGTGGCGCTGTCTCTCTCGCACCCTGCGGCACTCTGCGGCACTCTGCGGAGAGGCGGACGTCAATGACTCAAAGGGAGGTGTGGCGCTGTCTCTCTCGCACCCTGCGGCACTCTGCGGCACTCTGCGGAGAGGCGGACGTCAATGACTCAAAGGGAGGTGTGGCGCTGTCTCTCTCGCACCCTGCGGCACTCTGCGGCACTCTGCGGAGAGGCGGACGTCAATGACTCAAAGGGAGGTGTGGCGCTGTCTCTCTCGCACCCCTGCGGCACTCTGCGGCACTCTGCGGAGAGGCGGACGTCAATGACTCAAAGGGAGGTGTGGCGCTGTCTCTCTCGCACCCTGCGGCACTCTGCGGCACTCTGCGGCACTCTGCGGAGAGGCGGACGTCAATGACTCAAAGGGAGGTGTGGCGCTGTCTCTCTCGCACCCTGCGGCACCTGCGGCACTCTG